GCTTCCTCCAGTGAAAAAGTCCATCTCCTGTTGTCTCTCACATCAAAATCCACACACATATTTGTTTAGAGCTGTTTTGGACAGTTTTAGCTCGTAAACGGTGCTTGATCTGTGCAGATTTCTCTCCTGATTCAGACCAGATGACTTTTTCACTGGAAAAAGCATTATGATGTATGGAGTATTTTATCTGGAAGCAGTGGTTTGAAGTTAAAACGTCTTAATGCTGGATTTGTTTCAGCTTTTGTCTTCTCCAGATGTTAACTGATGGACTGGAGTGCTGTGGATTACTTGTGGATTATTGTGATGTTTTTATCAGCTGTTTGGACTCTCATTCTGACGGCACCCATTCACTGCAGAGCATCCATTGCTGAGACACTGATGCAATGCTACATTTCTCCAAATCTGCTCTGATGAAGAAACAAACATTTTCAGAAAATTGTAAATTTTGGTTGAACTATTCCTTTAAGAATGGATGTTAAAGATCAGTCTGCCCTAGGAGAAGTCATGCATCCGGTTCGATCACGCCAGTGTCTTGTCTTTTTTTTTTTTCTTCTCAGCTCCAGGACCGTCCACATCCGGCGAGTGCTCTAAGACATTAAAGGCCCCCCCGGGACCCGTCATTGGCAGTAAGAGATCGATCCAGGACATGAAGGACAAATCTGAGACCTACAAGTCACTCTTCACCTCCCACAGCTCGGCCAAACGTACCAAAGACCAGATATCCAACTGGGTCACACACACGCCTTACCACTTTTGAGTGCGTTCTTCCTAGTGAAGCTCACTCTCTAGTGGTCTGGCTTTTGGAGGAGCAGAATTCTGGCTGGTGGATTGATGCATTGTTTTAACCTGTTTCTTTTTCACCGTTGCATTTTTATTTACCTTTATAAGATTATCTTAATTTAGTTGCATGCTTAAGTGTTCATTTTCAGTAAACTCATGTTGGCTTGAGTGTTAAATGTATTTTCCATTATCATTTTTTGACTGGATTCTGCTTTGCAGCAGTATCTTGTCTTAAAATGCTTTATTAAGGTTTAAACATGAACTCTATTGCAGTATAAACAAATTTAAAGGCTGATATCTTTGTATGTTTTCCTCCACAGAAGCATAAAATCGTGTTCCTGAAGCACTGTTGTAATTATTGAGCATTTCTTGTTAGGGTATCACAGAACTAACTTGCTAGCTACAGTAGTTATGCGGTGTGCTTTTAAACATGCATTATTTGTGAACACAGTAAAAGTCCGATCTGGGAGAAATCATGCACTGTTGATGGATATTTGTTAGGAATGATCCTCAATACTGCTTTTGTCCACAGCGCGGCAGTAGATGTCTACGAATGAGCGCTGCCCCACTCAAACAGTTTTAGATCTGATGTAGTTGTAGGTTTCTTGACTTTTTGCAGTTCCCCATAATGTAGTCGGTTATGTTCATCTGACAGGTGCATAAATAAAATCCAGACTCTACATTTTCAGGTATGTGTCTTAATTCCTGAGTGCGTGAGAAATACATGCTTGGAATGTCAACCTTAAAAGTCACTGTAGCAGAATTTCAAGGTTATTACTTATTAGGCATACTTAATTGTTTTACTTAAAATCTTTAAAATAATTTAAGAAAGTATTGCAGATGAAAATAAATCTTCAAAAAAAAATTGTAAGTTC